CCCGCGTGTACTGTGTGAATGTGTGTGCATGTATGCAGTGAATGCGTGTGCCCGTGTGTACTGTGTGAATGTGTGTGCATGCCATTTAAGTGCATTTGTGCAGCGAGCGTGAGTGCCATGAGTACGTGTACACACGTTTGTGCACGTGTGTGCATGTGTGGTCTGTGTGCATGTGTGGTCTGTGTGCATGTGCAGTGAGTGTGTGTGTGTCTGACTGTATGTGAACCTGGGCTGGGACAGACAACTGTGAGGACCTGCCCACCAGGTGACGTGGCCTGGCCGAGTTTTGCCATCTTGTCCTCAGCAGGCCGGGGCTGTTGGGTGTCTCTTGAGGGGACAAACCTGATCCTCCTCATGGACCCACATCAGCTCGGGGCCCCGTGGGGTTCATGCAGGAGGAAGGCAGTCCAGGCTCCGGTAGATGTGAAGTCGGGGAGCCTCTGATGCCCCGTCCCCTGGGCTTTCCCAGGGGTCTCCAGTCTGAAAATGTTGGCCCGTTATAGGAAAATAAAATTTAGAAACAGCCATGACGAAACGTCTGTTACCTGTTCATGCTTACCCCCATTTTTCACGTTTTAAAAAGTTCTTACATTAATTAGGGATAACAGGCCCCTGCACCTTTCCTTTTACGTCCTCAGAGGAAGCCGTGGCCGCAACTCAGGACTGGGAAAGGCAGAAACCCAGTTTTTCCCAAAAGCACAAATCAGCATTTCTGGGAATCTTTGCAGGAGCGGCAGAGCCACGGACACACACTGTCCAAGGCAGCGCCAAGGTGCTGGTGGGCGTGGGCAGGAAGAGGGAGAGCTTCACTCAGCACCAGCAGCGATGCTAAAGCTCACAGCAGGCGAACCAAGAGATCTACACACCCTGCAGTGTAGATGCGGGAGGGAGCATGATGCCCCCAACAGGGAACCTCGTGGCTCTGCAGTCCCCCAGCCCCACCCCATGACCCCGGACCCGAGACCCCCTGGGAAGGTCGTTTCCACCTGAGGAGCCAGGTTCTTGCCAAGAGCCTCGACCCCGTCACGGCAGGCTGGGGCCATGGCGGCTCCCACACGCAGACCACCCTAGTCGGGGTCTTGAGAGCCTGGGGGCCCCGGGTACCTGCGGTGGCCACGACGCCGGCGTCGGACAGCAGCCTGTGTACCAACCCAGCGCCGGCAGCAGCAGCCCAGGTGGCCGAGGCCTGCGTGTGCCGCACGTTCTAAGGAAGGAATTCTAGATGTGGCAGCTTCACGGGATCTACCTCACCCCGCCACGGCTCCAGTGCAGCCACACAGCATCCCCAGGCCCACGTGGCTGTGCCTGATGGCAACGCGGGGGAGGAAGCTGGGCCCCACAGCCTGGGCGTGTCCTCACTGGGTGCTGTGATCCCCAGGCCGTGCCTCCGCCACCCCCCACGGCAGCCGCGCTCCCCCAGGCCTGTCGTCTCAGCCAGCATCCCCCCCTGCCGAGACTCCTGCCAGGTTAAAGGGAGAGCAGGATTTCAAAGGAACCCAGCACCAGCACTAGCGTGGTCATTTAACCTCACAGACACGAGGAGGACATTCACCCTGGTGCTCCCTGGTGCCTTTGGGAACCGCCCCTGCGCGAACGCCAAGCCCCCAGCACCCTGGGGATGTGCCGTTTTCCTACCAGACCCTGTGTCTCAAGGCAGAGCCCCGACCATGGCCTCCAGTGTCGGCCCCACCGGCCCCAGCCCCGACCCCAGACGCCTCCTGCCTTCCTGGGCCTCCCACGCGTCCCAGGGCGCGGTGGGGTGACTCACTGGAGGACGGAGTGTGTGGCCGCCTGCAGGTGGTAGCGGTAGAGCAGGAGAGTCTGGTCCACGCGGATGACGCTGCCGCCCTTCCTGAGGTGCTCGTAGAAGAACAGCAGGTCCTCGGGGACGCCCTGCAGCGCGAGAGGAGCAGGGGTGTCATCGGGCTGCCTCAGATGCACCACCCCTGTGCTCACCCGGCCAGCCAGGAACCGGTGGAAAAATTTTTGTGGCAAAGAAACCAGTTTAGAGGCTCAGCAGGGACGTGGGGCGGCGACCACCACCGGCGTGAGCAACCGACGTGAAACAGTCCTCACAAGGCCGGCACCAGGGGAAGCAGACGGTGGGCTGGCTCTTCGCTCGGCCCCAAATTCCATGTTCGGCAGCAAAGGTCTCAGGCAAAGAGAAAGACAGCCGAGGAAGGGGCTGGGGGGTCAGGGTCTCGCCCATGGCTCCTAGGCGGCTCCTCCGATCCTTTCCTGCCAGTGGCCGCAGCACAGAGGCTCAAGGGACTCAAAGTGCCGACTGTGGACAGAGGACAGTGGTGCTGGGTGGGCTCTGGGGCCGTGTGCAGGGACACTCAGCCGTGGGGGAGGCAGCCCCGGGGCCATGGTGCCGGGTGGGTGTGTCGGGGAGGCGCCCTGGGCCACGCCAGCCCTGTCACTTGTCGAAACTCAAAACCTTGAACCTCAGCCCACGGGGCTGATCCATGAACACTCCCTCCGTGTCAATGGGGATTCTGCACTGGGACATTCTGCAGGCATTCCCACTGGACTTTTCTGTCCTGAGAACATGGACCCTCCCTCCCCCAGCCCATAATCCCAACGGCCCCTGCCCTCTGCCCCCTCCCCTCCTGGGCAGACCCCAATCCTCAGCCCAGGCTGTGATCAAGCTGTGGGTCCGCCGGCTCTGGCCTTGTGCTGAGGGGGCCCCTGCTGCTGTCTTAGATTCCAGCACAAAAGCTGGGGGAGGGGCAGGGCACGGAGTCGGGTCTCCTCATGGCTCTCTGCTGCAGCCCCCTGGGTCAGCTGCCCGGAGACGCCTTCGCTCCAGGAGAGGGTGGGTTTTCCGAGAGCCTAGCAGTCCAGCCTCTTCTCTCCTCCGCCAACGCTCAAACTTCAAGTGCAGGTCAGTAAAAGCCCCAAAGCATCGTGGCCAGACTGCTGGCCTGTTTGCTCCCAGGATGGGCAGACAGTGCTGTGGTTCCACGTCCAACCTTTTAACCGCGCACCATGTAACCCGCACCTCTGCGGGGCCCTCTGGGCACCGGAAGGGTGTGAAATCCCTTTTACAAAAACCACGAAGACATGGAAAGATTTGTAACGATGCTGCCGGAAAGAGCAGACCTCAAAATCATGTTGACAGCCCTGCTAAAAGTTTATCCACCAAAAGACAGAGACAGAAGAGTCACAGAAGCCCAGGTGCTATGATGCAGGGTGGCTGGAGTGGAGGCTCCCACGGGTGCTGGTGGACAGAGACCCTCAGGGTGATTTAGGGTGAAGGGTCCCACGGGGCACAGTTCCTCACAGGGGTCATTGAGATATTTTCTCTAATTTCCTATGTTTTCAAAGGCAACTCTAAAGAGCATTGGAACTCTGAACATGTTCTAAGTTTATGAAGAGGAAAGAGGTTTCTCTCTTCCTATCACCAGGAGGAACCCAACCCTGGAGTTTTTCCTATTTTCTGGCAATAAAGTGAGAATTTATTCCACAGCAGCTCCTTGCGGTGCCTCTGCCCCGGGAGGAGGGGTGCTGTGAGCACAGGGCCTGTTCCCCTTTTCCTTCCTGTCCCCCGACTGCTGCTGCTGGGACCTGAGGGGCCTGAAATGGCCTCGCTCCTCCCCTAAGCTTTTCCCAACCAGCATGCAGGTGCCTGGAATGTGCTGTGGTGGGGAGGAGGGGTCCCTGGCAGTGCACAGGGGAGGGGAGGCACCAGGGAAGATGAGGGCGGCCACCCAACACCAGTCGGCTCCCAGGACCACCCTCGGGCAGCCTTTGGGGGTGGAGTGCGCAGAACTGCTGGAGGAGGGGGGCAGCGCAAGCTAAAGCCACTCCCAGGAAGGCGGGGCCAGAGACCCTGGAGGCTCAATCCCAGGAGGCAAAAGGAAGCGGAATCAGGCACGTGTGTCCCTCTCCGGGCCTGTCCCCAGCACCACGCACCCCTCTCCGGGGCCCGTCCCCAGCACCACGCACCCCTGTCCGGGGCCCGTCCCCAGCATCACGCACCCCTGTCCGGGCCCGTCCCCAGCACGCACCTCCAGGAGGAAGCAGCAGTCACCACTTGGGGACAGAAGGGGGAGAGCCTGAGCCGGGGCCCAGTGACTGCAGCTCTCAGAACTCAGGGACATGAAGTCTCTTCTGCACCAAAACCAACAGAGAAAACTAAAACCTGCAGACACTTCCGAGGATAAAAATTCAGCCTCTCCCACTACAATAACAACAAACCCCCAAACCAGGAACAGAAAAAACGCTGTAATTCCACAACCTCTACGTGTGTTTCAGGCTGTGGGGTGGGGTGTGTGGGGAGGTGGTGGAGACCCAGCTTGAATCAGAAACTCCAAGACTAAGGGCAACCTGGCCCGTCTGGGGTGGACGTAAACAGACACTGAGGAAGGTGCAGGCCTCGGCCAGGGCTGGCGGGTGCTGGGCAGATGCGCTGTACTCCTGGGAACAGGAGGTGTTTTTCGGGGGATGAAAACATTCTAGGGAGATGGTAGATGGTGACTGTACAGCCCTATAAATTAGCTAACAAGCATGAATTGCACATTTTAATAGAATTGTATGGCATGTGAATCACACCTCAATAAAGCTTTTATGTAAAACTGGGTCAAGTGGACTAAAGAAATTTTAAGGAGTGGGGGCCCACGGCTTTAATCCCAGCACTTGGGAGGTCGGAGGTGGGACGTGGTTGCGTGAGCCCAGGAGTTCGAGACCAGCCTGGGCAACACGTCAAAACCCTGTCGCTACCAAAAATATGGAAAAACGTAGCCAGGCGTGGTGCTGGGCACCTGTAGTCCCAGCTACTCAGGAGGCCGAGGGGCAAGAATTGCTTGAACCTGGGCGGCAGAGGTTGTGGTGAGCTGAGACTGAGCCACCGCACTCCAGCCTCACAACAGAGTGAGACCCTGCCTCAAGGAGAAAAACCAAAAACGAACAAAATATATGAGAAGCGAAGACTAAGTCACAGGATCCTTAAGAGAAGATAGGTTTTAGTAAAGGTGTAGTAAGGGTTACTGAAGAAAGGTGGGAACATCACCAGGAAAATAGAAATTCGATAATGACAGAAGTGAAAGGGTGGAGAGCACGTGGTTGAACCGGAGACTGAGAAAACCTCACCAACGTAGAGCTGCAGTCTAAAACAGAAAAACGAAACGGTGCCACCCACGAAAAGCCTCCAGGAACAAAAGCCGATCTGCCTTTCTACACACTGAGAAGCCCCGTCGGGTAACCAGAGACAAATCCTCGTGAAACTGTTAAGACTCCAGCAATAAAAACAATCATCAGAGTCTCCAGGCAAGAAGGTCACACAGCTTACAAAGACAAGATCGACGCACACTGGGCCTCTGAGAACGAACACACGAGGCAGCCGCAGAACGGCACGTGAACCGAGGACGCTCTGCACAGCCAGATGCTTCCTCCAGTGCCAGGCTGGGGAGCACAGTTCTGACAACGCAGCCTCACGGGGACCAGACGCCTCCGACAGAGCCGTGATGGTGGACGCTGGCTGTGACTGCAGGTGGGAGGCGCAGGGATGGGGGTGGGGTGGAAACTAGATGTGAATGTTCATCGTCTGACCTAAGTAGAAACAATGTAACAAAAAATGTGAGGAGGAGCCTGGCTCCGCTCACACCTGTAATCCCAGCACTGTGGGAGGCCGAGGTGGGCAGATCACCTGAGGTCACCAGTTCGAGACCAGCCTGGGCAACATGGTGAAACCCCGTCTCTACTGAAAAGACACAAATTAGCCAGGCATGGTGGCGCATGCCTGTAGTCCCAGCTACACAGGAGGCTGAGGCAGGAGAATGGCTTGAACCTGGGAGGCAGAGGCTGCAGTGAGCAGAGATCGCGCCACGCACTCCAGCCTGGGCAGAAACAGTGAAACTCTGTCTCAAAAATAAAAACAAATGGGAAGAGGGGAAAGGGGAAAGAAAAACAGGAAAACAGTAATCTCCCTGATGGTTGTGTGGGCGCTACACGGGGGACTAGAGGTGTTTAAAAAGGGTTAAGTACAGATGTAACTGCTGGAATAAAATGCAAACCTTCTCCAATGTGCAGAGAAATGCTGAAAATGCAAAAGCAGGTGATGGCTCCAGGCTGTCAGAGGCTGGTGGCCAGCGCCTTCAGAGGAAACTCTGCAGCTGGAACCTGGGGAGGCGGACTGCAAGGCACGGGGGGCAGAACTGAGGGCAGAATCCGGGACAAGCAGAGCACCTGGGGGCACGGGTGGTCTCAGACAGAGAGACCAAAACGGGAGGGAACATTCAGAGTTAACGTCTGGCAAGAACACCTGCCATCCAGTGACGAAAAGACAATCTCGTAAGAACAGGCCAACGCGCCGGACACATCACAAAGCAACACGAAAGCAGCCAGTTACCAGGTGAGACACCCTCCAACGCCGTGAGTCATCGCGGCTGTGCAGAGTGCGTGCACGGTGGGAAACCGTGAACTCCGACTAGAACAGGCAAAATTCAAAAGTCGGACAACACCAAAGCCTGGTGAGGGGCCGGCGAGGAGCTTGAGCAATGGGAGCGTCTGATGCAGACGGCGGGCCGAGGGGCCCGAGGCGCCGCCCAGGAGTCCTGGCTCACAAAACCAAATGTGTGCCTGTCGTCACGTGTACAACCCTAGGAACGTGGCGCATAGACAGGAAGACACCTGAGGTGTGGCCGTTGTGCTGGGTGGTGATTCGAGCCCTTCCTGTGGCAACGATAGCTTCCTTCCGGCCAGACCTCCCTCAGAAACCTGCTTTTGCTTTGTTTGGTTTTGTTAGAAACGGGGTTTCCCAGTGCTGCCCAGGTTGGTCTCGAACTCCTGGCCTCAGCGGACCCTCCTGCTGTGCCTCTTGAGCTTGTGGGACTACAGGTGTGAGCCACTATATTCTGCTATAAACCTGTTTTGAACCAAGAAAACATCATGTTTGTTTCCCTTGATTTAAGGGCCTGTGATGGTTGCCCACAGGGGACCCCCTAACAAAGCTGGGTGTTGTCAGGCACTGCCACACCCACCTCCGATTCCCAGACTCACCTGTAGCCCTCCCACCCGGCTGCTGTGGACCCAGAAACGGTGCACTTTCCAGTTAAGCATCTCCCCACCTGGCATGTTTCAGCTCGTGGTGACCATTCCTGCAGGCCCCTTGGCTCTGGCTCGGCCTCCGCATGTGGCCGCCTTGGGGTCCGCACTCCCCACGTCCACCTTGATGGTCCCTGCCCTTCAGCTGCTCCCTGAGGCCCACAGAGAGATGGCTGAGGATCAGCCCCAGACAGAGCTTCTGGCTCACAGGGTGACTTGTGACTTCTGCTGGACTCATTTCTTTGGGGACGAGTTGGCAGGAACCAAGGAAACACCGTCTGTCCCCATCTTAGTGGTAGACACTGCTGTCATCCCTGTCACCCAAGGCAGGCCCCAAGGCCCTCACCTGCTCCAGCGATGGCCTCATCACAGCTCGAACCCCTGAGCCCCTGGCCTTAGCCCCAGTCACAAGAGGAGGTGGAGACTGGACGCCAGTCATTCGCCTGGGGTGTCCGGACCCCCAGGAACCCTGTGTCAGACCCTCCACTGGTCTCTGTGTCCAGGCTCCCTGCTACTAGAGACCAGTGTGAGCAAGTGTTACTGGCTCCCTGTGGGTGATGCCCCAGCCCTGGGCTCCTCAGTCCCCACAGGGAGGCAGAGGCTGGAGCCGGCATGGTGTAGACACAGACGCCTGCAGGTGCACCCCAACGGGAAGGACGGGGACACGGACGCCTGCAGGTGCACCCGACGGGGAGGACGG